TGGCTCTCACACTCACTAGTCCTCTGCCTCCTTCCTTACGGCTTGTGTACAGTCTCAGGGTGCTGGATTTTGGGTGGAACCCTCCATGCATGGTTAGTAGCTTCCGAGTATTAACATCTGTGGCCTTCATCTCTTCCATTGGCCAGCTAATTATATATATATATATTTTTCTCTATTAAAATATAGATATGTATATACAGTATAGTTTAATAGAGAAAAAATGTGTCTTACTGGTGTTTGACCTCTTGGCAACCTAAGTGATTGCATTCCTGGTCTTTATGTAAAAATATAAGTGAATATCAGCGTCACATTAAATCACATATTTGTTTTTAGATAAATGCTGTATTTTTCTCAGTAATTAGGATACTTTTGATCAAATAAAAAAATGTCACAACCATTATATACAGAACTATTTAATCTGCTTGAATTGTTTTGGTTTACTTATTTCTAGTTTATTTATTAGCTTAATTCCAGTTTCTCAGTTTTCTGAGACACACAAGCTTCTTCCTCACAGAAACACACAAAGGGAAGTTTCATTTATCCCAGGTCACAGCAAACATTACACCTCAMTCCTTGGGTTTTCCACAATTTGATTTTCAGAAGCTGCTGTTGTATTTCCTGAAGGYGAGCAACTTCTACAGAAAAAAAAAGGGACGACTGTCTTGGCAGTGAAATGAGGAAACAACAGACTTTTTGTTACTGGACTGAACCTGAAGTCTAGATTTCTTATGTTTCCCCTTAATCATTTACAAGCAGGAAGTAGTAACTAAATCCTACTATGAGGAAGCAAAGCAAAGGTGGATTTGGTAGATCTGTAGTCCTTGTACATCTGATACAATGTGAAATCAGAACAGACTCGAGCCTTCGGGCATGAAGCGTGTTTTCATGTCTTAACGGCCAACGAACCAGAGCTGTTTTTCTGTCCTGCCTTTTGTTTAGTGAAACTTTACCCACAGGAGTGTGAAACTGAGAAATGTTTCAAGTTTCCACTGTTTGATGTAGTAGGGATGGACAAAACTGAGTAAAAGATGTAGACATGTAGTAGTTTGGTTCATGTGACTCAGAACAGTCAAAAGCGCCATCTCCTGGTCAATGAGAAAAATTACATGGTGGCACAAAACCCTAAAGATTAATATAAGCTTTAATAAGATTAATAAGGGGTTTGTGAAATATTTTGCTAACATACAAACTGGGTTGATTCTAACAATTACTGCTGAAAACCATAGAGTAACAAATTAAAGCACAATATCTGTAAAATCAACTGAATTAGAGCCATTTTTATATTTTCTACAGAGCGATATGGTTTGTTCATTTGGATTAGACTTTAATGCTCCTTTAAGAAACGTGAGTTGGACAAACTAAAGAAGTGGTTTTGAATGTGGGGAACTTGCTTTTATTCATCGGAGGAACATCAATGAAACAGCAGGAGTGTTTTTGTTAGAATGACTTGGGTGGATGAGGGGATTCCCAAAGAATCAAGCCTGCATCATCTTATTTAACATTTCCACTTTTTAGAGGGAAATAAGTTTTTAAAACCTGAATATTCAAAGAATTGTTTGACAGTGACTTAATATAAAACAAACCTTTATTCTTTCTTTCCTGTAATGTGCACAACATTTATAATGAGACAAAAAAAACAGCTTTATAAGATGCACAGATGTGTTCCAGATGTTTACAGTCAGGGTTATGTCTTCACTGCTGTGTCTCTGGATTTGTACATCACTCCTCTGCTTTTCAGCTCTCTCACCACACCTTTAGAGAGAAAAAAAAACAAGCAACAGGTAAGTACAGCAACTGAAGCATAAAACATTTACAGCTTCAGTGTGAAACTTGACTAAAATGTACCTGGAGGTAGTCTGCCTGTCACAGACACCGCATATACACCTGGTTTAAAGGTGCCTGGAAAACAGAAGATTTGAATAAACAATTATGTTAGCTGGAAGCAGGATATGATTTTTAAAATAAAGTACAACTATGAGCATTTACACATCCGTTAGCCTGCAAAGGTTAAGCTTTCCTGGGACCAGCACGTTTTGTGCAGGCAGTTTTTGAAATTCACAGCTTGAAATCACATTTTAGATGCGAACCCTGTTTAACTGCCCCCCACCCCGTCACATTGTACCCAGCTCAGCAGCTGCCCCATGTTTAAGACTTATTCTACRGGAGTCAACTTTGTAATAAGACATTTTGAAGACTCCCCTGCAAATGTTATTTGTCAACACCAGTCACAGCTGTAGAATATACTGTATTAATGAAAAGTACAAAAATACTTTACTAAAGGGTAGAATGTCTTGAATATTCTTACCTATTCTCTGCCATTTAGCCACCCAGCTGTCTTCTGGACTCATCATGGCAATGACGCTGTGAATAAAGTACAAAAAAGGTGATGGCAAATAAAACAAACACTTAGACTCAAGTTGAATAAAATGCTTCAGAAGGTAAAGAAGAGGAGACAGCGAGGGCTGAGGTTGTTTACCCATCAAACGAGGAGCTCGTACACTCATAAACCATCTCTCTGTTTCCCTTCATCTGCAGATACGACTCACAGTTATCACAGCCGTCATATTCAAACTGGTCGATGGTCTAAAGATTATAAAACCGAGAAGGAAATTAATTTATATTTTATAAATCAGACATCAATGAAATGCTGAATAAAATTGGATACAGTGCGCTGTTAGCAATTAGCACAGACGCTAGCATGAATTAGCGGCGAACGGAGGCTTACCTTTACTAAGGAACAAAGCAGACAGGCTCGCAAATGGCGCAGGTCTTTTGGCACCGTTTCTAAAGCCATGACTCCCGATGTCTCAAACTACAAAAGGAACGCTAACAGAAAATGTCACGTAGTTCCACGTTTGGCAATGTTTTGGACTAGCTGCGCCTGTATTCGTTTCTGCGCCTGCGTAGAAAAACAAAGCCCTCTTCAAGGCATCCCTGTTTAATGCCTGACCAAAAACTTCTTATTCTCGATAAGATTTCATTCATTCATTCATTTCTTAAATTTACCCATAAGCATACAATGAAGAAATAATAGGGAATAAATCATGTAAATTCTTTAATGCGTAAATCAGAAAACGTAATAAATAATAATAATAATAATAATAATAATAATAATAATAATAATAATAATAATAATAATAATAATAATAAAAACTGGTTAAAATTTAAACTACGTAACGAGAATTGTTAAAATCAGTAAGATATTTAGAATCACGGACATATTTAATAGTAATTTTAATATTTCTGAGATTAAAAAGGTACACAGAACTGCAGCTGTACGTAAACTGGTCCGCCATGTTGGGAAGGGCTTCATCTGCAAGGAGAATAAAATAGACAGGATTCAACTAAATGTATTCATATCTAACACAAAACGTTTATTGGTGAAAAAACAACTTTGTTGAAGTTTCACAAATCAGAAAAAAAACTTCCACCAATCTCAAACTTTGTTTAAAATAGTCATCTATTAGTGTAGAACAATCTAGTCTAATCTAGTCCAGGTTTGAAGAGTCAATGTGTTGTAGATTTTGAGCTAGAGCAGATTAAATACGCTCGAGGTAGTGAAAAAAAAATAGTTGTGATCACCCTTTAATCATTTCCCGAATCGGAAGCTGGACTCGTATATGGAGGACCGAAACTTTCATAATGGGAAATAAATGTAGAAATATATAAATGGCTTGAAAAAGTAAATACATAGCTAAATAAAATAATAATGTGGCAAATTTAGCAACCAAACAATAAAAATATACTATTTTTTATTTAGCCATGTATTTACTTTTTCAAGCCATTTATATATTTCTACATTTATTTCCCATTATGAAAGGTTCGGTCTTCCATAGAACAGCAGTGTTTATTTTAAACTGAATCAGCTGTAGTTTCGGTGTGACCACAGGAGGGCAGTGTTAATTTGATTTAATTTTCTTTATTGCTTGAACAAAATACAATCACTTGTGGAGGTACAACGAAAAGTGCAACATGAATACAATAAATAAATATTTGGGCTTAAGACAACATAGAACAAGTACATTCTAGTAAGGCAATATATAAGAAATGGAGCATGTTAATTTTAAACTAAATCAGCTGTAGTCTCTGTGTTTGACCACAGGAGGGGTTGGTTTGATACTATTTGTTTATTCATTTTTGTTGCTTAAAAAAATACAATCACTTGTGGAGATACAAGGAACAGTGCAACATGAATACAATAAATAAATAAATAAATAAATANAATAAATACTTGGGTTTAAGACAATATAGAACAAGTATATTTTAGTAAGGCAATATAAAAGAAATGAAGCATGTTAATTTTAAACTGAACCAGCTGTAGTTTCAGTGTTTGACCACAGGAGGGCGGTGTTAATTAATTTTTTTATTGCTTGAACAAAATACAATCGCTTGTGGAGGTACAAGGAAAAGTGCAACATGAATACAATGAATAAATAAATAAATAAATATTTGGGTTTAAGACAATATAGAACAAGTACATTCCAGTAAGGCAGTATAAAAGAAATGGAGCATGTTAATTTTAAACTAAATCAGCATTAGTTTCTGTGTTTGACCGCAGGAAGAGGGTGGTTTGATATTATTTATTTATTCATTTTTATTGCTTAAACAAAATACAATCACTTGTGGAGGTACAAGGAACAGTTCAACATGAATACAACGAATAAATAAAAAATAATTAAATAAATAAATGAATAATCAAACAAATAAACAAACAAACATAAATAAATAAATACTTGCGTTTAAGACTATATAGAACAAGTACATTCTAGTAAGGCAATATAAAAGACATGGAGCATTTTAATTTTAAACTAAATCAGCTAAAGTCTTGAAACATTCCAGCACTTTCAGGACCTTAGACAGCTACTTCAGTACTTCACACTCTCTGAAGTCCTGAAACATTCCAGCAATTTTAGGACCATGGACAGTTCCTTCAACCCTTCCTACTGTCCAAGGACCTGAAATATCCCAGCACCTTCAGGACCTTGGAGAGTTCCGTCAATCCTTCACACTGTTTAAAGTCCTGAAACATTCCAGCACCTTCAGAACGTTGGACAGTTCCTTCAACAGCTCCTTCAGTCTTTCACACTGTCTAAAGTCCTGAAACATTCCAGMCCCTTGGACAGGTCCGTCAACAGTTCCTTCAGTCCTCCACACTGTCTAAAATCCTGAAACATTTCCAGCACCTTATGGACCTTGGACAGGTCCTTCAACAGTTCCTTCAGTCTTTCACACTGTCTAAAGTCCTAAAACATTCCAATACATTCAGGACCTTAGACAGGTCCTTTAACAGTTACTTCAGTCCATCACTCTGCCTAAAATCCAGAAACATTCCAGCACCTTATGGACCTTGGACAGGTCCTTCAACAGATCCTTCAGTCTTTCACACTGTCTAAAGTTCTAAAACATTCCAGCACCTTCAGGACCTTGGAGAGTTCCTTCAATCCTTCACACTGTCTAAAGTCCTAAAACATTCCAGCACCTTCAGGACCTTGGAGAGTTCCTTCAATCCTTCACACTGTCTAAAGTCCTAAAACATTCCAGCACCGTCAGCACCTTGGACAGGACCTTCAACAGTTCCTTCAGTCCTTCACGCTGTCTAAAGTCCTGAAACATTCCAGCACTTTCAGAACCTTGGACAGTTCATTCAGTCCTYCAYACTGTCTAAAGTCCTGAAACATTCCAGCACTTTCAGGACCTCGGAGAGTTACTTTAACCCTTCACACTGTCTAAAGTTTTGAAAGATTCCACCACTTTCTGGACCTTGGACAGTTCCTTCAACAGTTCCTTCAGTATTTCACATTGTCTAAAGTCTTGAAACRTTCTAGCACCTACAGGACCTTGGAGAGTTCCTTTAATCCTTCACACTGTCTAAAGTTTTGAAACATTCCACCACTTTCAGGACCTTTGACAGTTCCTTAAACAGTTCCTTCAGTCCTTCACACTGTCTAAAGTCCTGAAACATGCCAGCACCTTCAGGACCTTGGACAGGTCCTTCAACAGTTCCTTCAGTCGTTCACACTGTCTAAAGTCCTGAAACATTCCAGCACCTTGGACAGGTCCTTAAACAGTTCCTTCAGTCCGTCACACTGTCAAAATTCCTGAAACATTCCAGCACCTTCAGGACCTTGGAGAGTTCCTTCAATCCTTCACACTGTCTAAAGTCCTGAAAAATTCCAGCACCTTCAGGACCTTGGAGAGTTCCTTCAATCCTTCACACTGTCTAAAGTCCTAAAACATTGCAGCACTTTCAGTACCTTGGACAGGTCCTTGAACAGTTCCTTCAGTCCTTCACAATGTCTAAAGTACTGAAACTTTCCAGCACCTTCAGGACCTTAGACAGGTCCTTCAACAGTTCCTTAAGTCCTTCACACTGTCTAAAGTCCTGAAACATTCCAGCACCTTCAGGACCTTGGAGAGTACCTTCAATCCTTCACACTGTCTAAAGTCCTGAAACATTCCAGCACCTTCAGGACCTTGGACAGGTCCTTCAACAGTTCCTTCCGTCCACACTCTTCAAAGTCCTGAAACATTCCAGCACCTTCAGGACCTTGGAGAGTTCCTTCAATCCTTCACACTGTCTAAAGTCCTGAAACATTCCAGCACCTTCAGGACCTTGGAGAGTTCCTTCAATCCTTCACACTGTCAAAAGTCCTGAAACATTCCAGAACATATAGAACCTTGGACAGGTACTTCAACAGTTCCTTCAGTCCTTCACACTTTCTAAAGTCCTGAAACATTCCCGCACCTTTGGGACCTTGGAGTGTTCCTTCAATCCTTCACACTGTCTAGTGTCCTGAAACATTCCAGCACCTTCAGGACCTTGGAGAGTTCCTTCA